TTTAGAACTATATCCATACAAAAGTTTTAGACAACGCGAAGGTGATATGTGTGGGAGGCGTGTTTGGCAGTGGGTACAGGATGAAAAGTGATTTGGTGACCAGCTTACCGCTTATCGGCTTGGCGCATTTGGCACATCGCTTGGCGAACTGATCGGCGTAGCAGTCGGCGCAGTAGGGTTGGTCGTCCTTGGAGGTAAACTTCTGTCCGGACAATTGGAGGCCACACTTGACGCAGAGAAAACACTCCTTGTGCCATGGTTGGTTTTTGTAGGTGACTCCGCCCTTCTGGATTGGCTGGAGGCGGGATAGGGAGTATTTGGAGAGGTCAGAGTTTCCACGATGGGAGTAGGTGACATATTGTGGAGATAAGAAAACAGAATTTACATGGTGCGTGTCTCTAAAATCGACGCCAACAGCCAAATCAGGCGTAACAGTAGCTAACACATTTCATTTATGAAGTATTCATCACTAGGCCTTGTGCATCTTTCAGGTAGCGTCAGGAGACAGTTCACACCTACAAGCCGCAGTGGAGCGTGATCAACAGGAATACAGAAAATAATTGGGATAACTGTAAAGGTAAAGAGGGCGATGAAAGTGGATAGGCCACTCGAGAGGCGAGATTGTTCATCCATGACCCCGGAGTACTAGCAACAGTAGTTCACTATAATCTGTCATCTGTCTGGAAGACGAGTGATTACAATAAACTGAATCAAGAAAAATTTAGAAGATATGAAGTGAAGAAGCCATTGCATAATAGATTTATATAAGAACTTCTATCCATTTCGTTTAGGTTGATGAAGGAGGGCTAGTTGAATTTTCTTGCAACCAACAGATTAAGCCTCATGCCTGCATTAAAAGTTATTATCATCCAGGCTGAACTGCCTTCTAGACCTCATCTACTAGCCCATCCTCACCGTCAACGAAATAGTATGATTGGGGCTCTTAGATAACATGTACTGGTAGTCTCGAAAGCTTATTCATAAACTAATAATAAGTATTTTTCTGATCAAGTATTGTTTTCGTGACTACCAGTAAATCAGTAATATGAGATTTATTCACCCAATTTCGTTTAAGG